ACAGCATCTCGGGGAGATTCTATTCCATTAAACCAGGCATGTCAAACTGCTGGCACGCGGGCCAGATGCGTCATGCCAAAACCGCGCCTACCACATTGCCAGCAACGAGGAAAAAGTCCTGATACGTCGCACGACGTCACGTGACATTGCGAGTTTGACATGCGTGCATTAGACAAATGCCATGACATGCTTCCTAGGGTTCACCAAGTGACATTGTTTCATGTCACTTGCTCGGCCTGATCTCGTGAGACTGGCAGAAACCATTGGAGAAAGACAATTCTGCAAGTAGTCTGGACCCATGCCATGTGGGGATTTAAAGATGACAACTACCTCTTGAATCATATCAGAAAATCTTCCAGGGGGCAATATAATACATGAAGCAGTGATGTTATATCTACCATTGCATGCTCTTCAAGGGCAATCAATGTAAGGTAGTAAGCCTAACTGCAGTTCTACTTAGCTTCTAGCCATGAACTGGGGCCATTTGAAAATCTTCATACAGACGTTTCCTTAAGAACTATTGGACCTTTTCAGATGTTTTGATTTACATCATTAGGCAGGCAAACATAATAATAATGGCTGCTACATACGTGAACGTGTTAAATGTTGGATCCTGCAGATACCACAAAGATGCCAAAAAAGTGATGCCAAGATAAACAAGATATTGCACAGTGGAATTTGGACATTTTCCGGTAGTAAGGTCTTTATTTAATTATTTACTTAATAATACTTAGGTACAATTTTTTTGCATTGATTTCTACTTAAATGGCTTAGTGCTTAACAAAGGGTCATCCTTTTAGTCCTGTTGCCCTGGTTCTGGAGGGACCATTTGCCAGTGATTAGGGACATACCCTTTTGTGGCCAGCTTGTTTCTGAGGCAGGCTGAAGCCAGATCAAGATGATCCAGCAGGAAACTAATGTTTTCCAGTATAAAATGATACAAGAGGAGAGAATTGGGCTCCTGCCTCTTAATTTCCTGAAAGCAGCAGCAGCAGCAACTGCTGCTCCTGCCCTGATAAGAGAGCAGCAACTTGCCAGCCTCATTTTGGAATCATGGCCCAGGACTGCTGCAGGAGGAAAATGGGAGGAGAACACATGATTGGGGATGTGAGGAAAAATGTTCTGTAATGCTGACAGATTGCTGCTACTTTTTTCTTCATGTAATGAAGCTACAGACTATTAGAAAGAAAATATTTTTCTCAATCTTAAATGGAAATAGCTCCCAAAATATTGTTGCCTTCCTAAATGAGTGTGCAAAATCTACCTTTGCTCCATTCTTAGACATTGATTACATTTTCATATAACACTAACCCAGATTTTAAAATCTAGATTGTTGAATAAACCAATATAGCTTGGTTTCCACATAATACTACAGAATATTATTATATTTAGATTCACTTATCACAAAAAAACAAACTATATTATGGCTGAATGCATGAACATTTGAGATTTTTTTTCTTGAATTGTGCAGGGAATATTTCTGTAAAAGAAATCAGATCTATTCCTTTAAGAGATATCGATCAAAGATTTTATAGTTTGAAAGCACACCTAAAAGCCAATGTCTTTTTTAAATGTAAATCTGTAATAGGGAGGAACAAAACAATGCTTTCCCATTTTGGAGCATTTTAGTTATGCACAATATTAATATGTGTGATGCATATTTTACTTTCAAGTAAGAAGTGAGATTGATTAAAGAAAAGGCCCATTATATTAAAGTCCACAGTATATATTACATGAACAGCTGGAGTTGCTACAAAATCATAACAGCTGTTCAAAAAAAAAGAATCTGACATTTGCTCACTGTCATAGATGTTTGTTCCTAACCATAATGATGAATGATAAGCCATGCCAAAACATCACAATGTAAGTTCTGCCCTTTTGTTATTGCACCCCCACATCATATGGAAGAATATGAGAAGCATACTCTGTTTGTCTTGTGATGTTGTAACACATGTTTAACTTCAGCAGACTTCTGTATCAAATCAAAATTTCTGGTCATTATCTTTGATAATTTAAAGAGAAATACCTCTTTAAATTGTGCATATTGTATATATTTGTTAACTAATACAAAATATTTAAATTTGGAGATTTTGCATGCTTCCACTTGCATTAAACATTGTAAATCTGAACACTTAGTGCCATAGAGTTACAGTTGTTTCAAAAATTGTGCTAATGACTCAAAAGGAAATTGAACAATTGTTCCCATGTCACTTTATTTCATTTTTTAAAGCCAGAAATCAATGTTTGATAAGCATAAACCAGTTCTGTGCTTTGTTCATGCATTTGCACAAATATATCCCATAAATTATGTAAATTGCTTCTGTTTGAGAAACTGTTTAGATCTTCCTTTGTTTACATAAGATTGCAAGTTAGCACAAAATGATATGAAACAAGCAATACTTTCTGTAATTGCATTTTGATGGGATCTCCCAGAGGACTCATCATGTTCTTTCGAGATAATGCCTCATGTCATGATTGAATGTGACAGGCTGACTGGGAGGCTGGTTTGGAAAACCCTTGATCCTTTGTTCACTTGCTCAATACACAGGCTATATCTGATGGATATTGCTCTGATTGGCTTCCTTCTGCAGATCATAAGCAGATAAACCATTAATCCAAAGAAATGGGAGGGGGTAATTTAACTGCTCCCACCTTTCAAGGGTAAATGTACAAAAAATTAGCATATCTTTCAGAAGGAACAAGGAATGTAGCGAATCACTAGAGGAAATAGCTAGAAAAGTTCTGTCTTCTAGTTTGAGAACTGCTGCCAGGAATAATAGACACTGGAATACCAGCAATAATGCTTGTATTACTAGCAACAGGCATCTGAACTGGAGAGAGCACAAACAAGAAGACTTTCATATTCTCCTGTGCATTGTGGAATCATCTGTCTTGTAAATATATGGTTTTCTGACACCAGTACAACAAAGACATTTTGGAATCTAATTTCAATTTACAGTAACAAAGAGTGGTATGTCCATTGTTAGGTGGCAGCACCTGTCTGATCTTGGTGATCCCAAAAGCTAAGCAGGATTATTGATTCCCCGCCCCCCATTGGTGATGTCAATTTTTCCTTGGAATGCCATCTGCCTAGTTCTTTGCAAGTTTTACATACTGTAGTTTTATTTCTTTCTAATCTCCTAAAACTAATTAGTTGGATTGGCATTGGTAGGCTGCTCTCTTGTGCATGTTAGTTTCAGAGGCTTCCATTTGGGATTTCTCCTGTCCAACCCTGTCTTTTTTCTTTCATTAATTTTGCCTTTTGCCCAAATGTTATAGTTGGGGATCTGGAGTGTGAGCAATTTTTCTTAGCGCTTGTTTATCTACACTTTGCCTTTCTATACAAGTAACTGATGTTATATTGTTGGAGTTGTGGCACTCCGTGCCAGAATTACATCAATAATACCACTGTGTGCATGTGGCCATTTCCCTCCAGAGAAGAGAAACAGTTCTCTGAACTTCTTCATCTTTAACATGAATTATTCACAGGCAGAAACATATCAGATGTAGTTGAGAAAATCTGTTTTGATTTGATCTTTGCAAACTTCACTACAAAGGACTCACATGAACAAAAAATAGTACAAACAGTAAAGGATAAATATTATTCTTTATTTTTTAAATAATGCAACATAAGATTTTATTTTACACTAGTGGAATGGCATTTATATTCTTAACTATGCATAGTGTACACATTCTATTTTATCTGCAACTCTGAATATTTGAGAGGAAAAAGCTCTACAGCAGGGCTTTTCAACCATGGTATGATACCACCTGTGGTACATTGGCACCTAGCAGGTGGTACGCGACTATCCTAGAAAAGTGGTAACGGGGGAGGGGAATGAGCTGAACTGGTGGCAGCATCGCACAAGCCTGAGCGAGAGATGGCTGGAGCTGCAGGGCTGTCAGGGCTCAGTGGAAGCGCCAGGATCAGCGCCAGGCTCCAGCTGGAACTCAGTGCTGATCCTGGTGCTTCTGCTGAGCCCTGAAGAAGCACCAATCAGCTGGAAAGCAGCACTGATCCTGATGCTTCTGCTGAGCCCAGAAGAAGCACCGATCAGCTGGAATGTTGTAGCATCTCCAGGGTCTTGTGATTTACATCCAGATGCTTGGCAACTGATTCATATTTATGATGGTCACAGTTTCCCAGGGTCATGTGAAGTGACCAAAATGTGCTGCAACCACCCAGTAGACGGGGGGAATAAAAACCAAACACCCCCCCACCCCACCCCCACTGCCAATCCTCAACAGAAATGCTCACAACAATGAAAACCTCGGACAGGAGGAAGATTGCCGCTGGGTGCTATCTTGCTTGGCTGTGGCTTGGGGGGCACTTTTTTCAGTGCCATTGTAACTTCAAACAGTCACTAAGTGAATTGTTGTAAGTCGAGGACTACCTGTACTTTAGCACTTTCTTCCTTTTTTTTTTTTTTGGTCATCAAATTTTTGACACCTTGCTAGGCGACTGGTGGTACTCGGATGTTGCCATATCCTAAAAGCCCTGCTCTACAGTTAGTTTAAATAAAAGGATTGTGTAGTGCTTAAGAGTTCGTTTCCAATGGTGTTTAGAAGTATGCAGGAGTGCAAATTTAACATTTTAAGTTGTTGTGTCTTTCCTTGTTATAAAACATTGTAGGGAGGCCTTGCGTGAAGATTGAAGTGCTACATACCTCTATTAATACTTAATGTGCTACCGCAGAATAGATTTGTGGAGGTTGTTCTCTGGATTCCTCTTCTGTCAAAACAGAGATTTTTCTACTGAACTGAGAAAGATCTTCAAAGCAGAATATCATTATTATTGTTAATGCACCAACCTAAACTTGTTCTATTCCCCTGATCCATTTTAATATACAATAATCTATATCAATAAATAATCAATATATACATATAAATGCACTGTAGCTGTTTCATACACAGCTCACTCCCACTCCCCAGTATTCCTAGGATGCAGGCTTGGTTACTTGTTTTACCTTTCCTTTGATCATGCTGTTTGTCTTTCCCAGGATGAGATTGAGGAACTACGTGCAGAGATGCTGGAGATGAGAGATGTCTACATGGAAGAAGATGTCTATCAGCTACAGGAGTTAAGGCAACAACTGGATCAAGCTAGTAAGACTTGTCGTATCTTACAATATCGTTTGCGAAAAGCAGAGCGACGCAGCCTTCGTGTTGCACAGACTGGCCAGGTGGATGGAGAACTCATCCACAGCCTTGAACAAGATGTCAAGGTAAGCCTGCATTTGCATTTTTTCTTCTTCATTAGAATAGAGAAGTCAGTTGAATAAACCTGGGATATAAGAAGTTGCTTTCTCTTGTGTTAAACTATTGGTTTTGGAATATAAGGAATGGATTTGTACTATTTTTAGACCGTTGCCTGTTCAGTCTAGTATTTTGTTGGCTTCTATCCAAGATCTTAGACCAAAGGCTTTCTCCCTTCAAATGCCTGAAATCCTTTGGTCTGATATAAGAGGACTTGAAACAGAATTCTTCTCTGTTCCAAAGTTATTGGAACAGTATTGTTTTTTTTTTCTGAGCTACAATAACTTCAATTAGGTGCTTATAATAAATTTAATTTCACATTTTAGAAAAAAGAGCTTCATGTGGAAATCTTGCTGAGAAATTATAATAAGAGCCGAGGTGGCACAGCAGTTAGAGTGCAGTACTGCAGGCCATTTTAGCTGACTGTGTTCAGCAGGTCAGCGGTTCAAATCTCACCGGCTCAAGGTTGATTCAGCCTTCCATCCTTCTGGGGTAGGTAAAATGAGGACCCAGATTGTTGGGGGCAATGTAAATATATATATATATATACATTGCTTACTGGTGTACACCGCTTAGAGAGTGCTTGCACTTAAAGCGGTATATAAGTCTCATAAATAAATAAATAAATAAATCTGGTGGTATATCATCCTTAAAGCTCATTGGAGATGATTACTTGGAAAATTTGTTGTACTGCTGTAGTATTTTAGTCACTTCTCACAAGAAACCATGAGACTTGGCTTCCTTTGAATAAATATAGTTCACCTCATTCTCATAGCGCATGTATAGATATACAAACTGAGACTGGAGTCATAGTAAAATAAAATCAAGTCATTGGAAGTTTGAAATGCATTTGTGGAGTGGAATATCTTAAGTTTTGGGTTTTGTGGTATTCAATTGGACAATCTATGAATTATGATGGAGGACCTGTATCTAAGCTGATTTTCCATTGCGCATGATTCTGTCTGATACTGAAGGCAATGACTGTTTCTCTTTTTGAAAAAATAATCCATAATGGTTTTCATACAGTCCTGAATGGGCTATTCTGAAAATGCCTTGCAAACCATTAAATTACATAGTTGCACATTAATTTGATACTAGGTTTTCCCCACAACTATACTCAATTGTAACTAGACTGCTTCTTCTCTCTCCAAATTCCTTTTCCTTGCTTATAATCTCTTCATTTCACAGTTTCTGTAGTCCTGGAGATAGATACACCAGGGAAAGGTTATTAAAACATGACTCCTTGTCAACTTCAATTAGAATCATGAAAACTAAGCAGCTAACCAAAGAGGCTGACTCCCTCCTTTGAGCTGCTGGAGGATCTTCATTCAGGGTGATTGTGCAGGCCAGCTGGATAGAACATATGTTGTTTGGTGTGGCACATTTTGTTGAAGGGCATGAGATGGCAACATTCTCCAATGGAGGAATGCTTTCTCTGTATTTGGTTAGTAGTCTTGCTCTTTTTCTGGCATCCTGGGTACAACTCATTTACCTAATGATATAGATATTCAACAGGTGATGGAAATATAAACTGCTGTGGTAGAAGAAATTAATTCAGCATTCCCATGGTGGGTAGCATGATTGAAAGAGAAAAAAAATATGATAGACTAATTAAAGAAGCAACAAAGCAAACATCTTTGGAAGCTTCTTGTTCAATGATTACAAACACAAGAATACTGAGCTTCAGACCTTTAGTGGGTGAAATCTCTAAGTCATACCTTCTTCCCAAACAACACAGTTGCCTGTTGCACAAAGGAGTAAGTCTGCTGCCATTTAGCCCAGGCGCCAAAAAATGACTGATACGAGAAATGAAGCTTGCATCAATTTGCATTGATCTGTACTGTGTGTGGAAGCCTAGATTGAATGTGCAAACTAGTAATCAGACTATTGTTTTTCAAACCTTGAATAATCTGGAACATAAACTAAGTCTCTGAAGAGAGAAAAATATTACAGGTATTCAAATGTTTGTGCTGCCATGAATTCACATATGAATGCTAGTCATGGTTAAGACCTAGGAATCAGAATAACAAGAGTTGTAAGGGACTTTGGATGTCTTCTAGTACAACCCCCTGCTCAAGCAGGAAATCCTATACCATTTCAGACAAATGGTTGTCCAAACTGTTCTTAAAAACCTCTAGTGATCCATTGTTTCTTGTCTTGCCTTCTGGTGCTTTGGAAAATAAGTTGATCCCCTCTTCTTCATGGCAGCCCCTCAAATATTGGAACACTGCTATCATGTCACCCTAATCCAGTGGTTCTCAACCTGTGGGTTGGGACCCCATTTGGGGTTGAACGACCATTTTACGGGGGTCGCCAAACAACGCAGTCCGCCATTTTTTCCCCCTTTTCCTTAGCTGTGCTATTCCCTTTTATTCTTTTGGCTTTTGAAAGCCAGTAGAATAGAATCTCTTGAATAGAGTCTAATTCTATTGGCTTTCAAAAGCCAATAGGAATTGTCCAGGCTGTCTCTGCCCTGCTGAGCCCGCCAAAAGTCCCATTCTGCAAACGGTGCTGCACTAGTTGAGTAGTCCTTGACTTACGACCAGTTGAGTAGTCCTCGGCTTACGACTGGTTGGGGGGTCGTGGCATTAAAAAGGTTGAGAACCACTGCCCTAATCCATCTTTTCAATAGACTAGACAATCCCAATTCCTGCAACCGTTCTTCATCCGTTTTAGCCATTAGCCCCTAATCTTCCTTGTTGGCTAATATGGCAGATAGTTTTAGACAAGTCATCATCTTCCAACTTTATCTCCTATTTATAATGTAAGATGATATTTCTGGCTAATAGTATCTTGTACTGAAAGGATGTTTGTGAAAGTCTAACACTTTTGGCCTACCAGGATAAATGTAGGAAGTCTGCCCAAAGACTTTAGGCCATAGGTAATCCCCAAGAGAACTTGGGAACACTCTCTAAAGCCTCTCCAAAATTTGTCATTTCTGTTATAATGTGGTTTACTTGCTTTTGGCTTTATGTGTTGGGTCAACTCAGACACTTTAGTTGTAAACTATAGTTTATGTCCTAGCATCATTGTTCTTTTTCATTCATAGGTCAGTGCAGAGTGCTATTTTATCCTGTGTATGTACCTTGCTGTAATTTTAATTCTTTGTAAACAGTATGTATATGTTCATTGTATCATCACACCAGAATTAAAGTTTAATGTAGTATAGAATTTAGTTGTATATTTAGTTGTAGTATAGAATTTAGTTGTAGTATATTTTAGTTGTATAATGTAGTATAGAATTTAGTTGTATATCTGTATATCCAGATAGCCTGCCATGCTATCTGGATATAGCAAATTTTAAATGCATAGTAGTAATATTAAAAAAACCTGACATTTATTTTATAATAACTTTAAATGATGCATTATTTTAATGTGTTTGCATGTTTAATGTTATTTAATGGATATTTATGGATATTTAATGTTTAATGTAATTTTAGTGTGAGAGATTTAAAAGTATCACAATTAAAAGGTAGAGACATCAGAAAAATGTACGGTAGTTGATGTTTGAAATATGAATGTGTTAGTTCATTCTATACCCACTAAAAGTGATATAAAAGCAAATTATAATCTCATTTGTAATATATCTAATTGAGGTTTTTGTAAATGCTAGAAATGTAGAGGTGTCAATTTTTTATTAGCTACAACTAGTGATTACAGATTTTAGTATTTATGTAAGCCTGTTGGAATATCTTGCATTTGGAAACAACATCTAGGATTTGAAATGTGCTATTTTCTCTATAAAACCTTTTGTTTTGCCCATAATGGCCAATCCATGGGATGGTTCTTTTCAAAGTAGAACATGGGTGGATAACGTCCTATGTTTGTCTGGCTGCATTCCCCCCCCCCCTTCTCTTTCCCTAGAGCTTGTAACAGCTGCCTTCTGGTTTTCTCAGCTTTCACTGTGATCAAATGTTCTGCTTGAAGAAACAGGAAATAAGTGGAACAACCCCCGTCCTTTGGTATTGCTAGAGTTTCATACTAAGCTGATTCTATAGAAATAGTTATCATTTGATTTACCCTTCTACTAGCTCAATTTTCAGTTCTCATGATCAGGATGTGACTATGGAATTTGTACAAATAACTGCAGAGGGTGAAGTACAGGCCAACTTCTTCCACATCAGCTGCAGAGCCATTGCAGGCTCTTTTTTTCTCTACAGGATCCTTCCTTCTTGCCACCTGTTATGGTGCAATAATCTTTCACTAATGTCTTCACTGGAAGATATTTGCCTTTAATCTGACGACCTTATTCAAGACATTGCACTTTAAATACAGAGGACTTCTTCAACTTCTGTGCTTGTACTATATACATATTCCAAGTATACTATTTTCCTATTCTTCTTCTTTTAAGAAGGAGGCTCTGTAAGACAGCCCATAGGGGTTTGGGGGCTGACCTAGTAAAAATGCTGGACTACCTTTCTAATTCCCTTGAAACTGTCATTATGAAAACTTTTACAGCTCTACCTATCAGAGAAAACTGATAAACTAAATGTGGATTTGCCACAAAGTCTGAGAGAGATAATCACAGTTTTGAAATTTTACAAATTTCTCCTCTTGGGTGATGCCTCAGAAATACTTCCTGAATCTATCCCTATCAGATCTCAGCAATATGAGTTCATGGAGACAGAATATAGTAGCCCAACAACTGTACAGGGGTCTACAAGGAAGCAGATTATTTGGAGTACAGAAAATTAGGGATTAGGTTAGGATACAGCATAGAAACTGCATTGTTGTGTTTGTGGATGACTTTTGGGGTGACTGAGTTTGGGGAATGCAATCCTCTTGCTCCTTGTGGTCTAGTTCAGTGTCCGCAACCTTTGTGGCTTGGCAGCCCAGCTGGGGTGGGGGGAGAGGGGAATCAGGCTGCATGAGCAGGTTGAGCTGCAAGTTGAGGTCCACATGAGCATGCATGCCAGCCTACCACTCATGCAAGTTGAGCTACACACATGCCCGCTGGCCCACCACTCAGATGGCCCAGTTGCGAATAGGCCATGCCCCGGTACTGGGCCATGGCCTGGGGATTGGAGATCCCTGGTCTAAATAGCCCTCCATTTTTTTTTTGTAAAAAATTTTATTTTCAACTTTACAATACATAACAATCTTACAAATACTTCAGATAAAAAATAAAACAAATTGATACACACCACATTCGGTCTTGCCCGCCCATTTCCCCCCCAAACCGCATCCCACCTCAAACCAACTTACTTCTTTCCCTCTTTTTCTTCACTCACCCCCTCTCCTCCTTCACCTCAACCTTCCTACTTACTTCTCACCTTCTTCTCCTCCCTCTTGATGCGGTCCAGGGGAAATGCCCAAGCAGTTCCTCTCTCAAAATTAAAACATTAATATTATATACAATAAGACTATTTCTACTTTATCTGAACTACTTAAAATTCAACCCATCCACCTCCACCCCCTCCCCCCTCCCCCTCCCCCCCGACTTCCCAGAGCAAAATACAAGATTATGCAAACATATTAAACATAATCTATTTAAGTTTACTAAATAGATTACTGCTTGTCTCTAGCTGTTTCCGCCCATTTGGTTTGGTCCAGCAGAGCGGAGATCTCACCAATGAAGGAATGTCTTCTTGTGGGACCAATTAATTGTCTCTACATTATTGCAATTCTTGCTTTCTGGAATGTCCCCTCCCCAAAGTATATGGTTCAGGAAATTGGTGAAGACTTAACTTGTTCTTCCAGGCCTTGGGAACAGGTTGATCATGGAGCCCCCCTTTTTGTTTTGTTTTGCTTTTTGTACTTTGCTCTTTGATCTGTTGCATTTTTCTTTTTAATAAGCTAGTTATAAGTTGCCCAGAGTTGGAAATCCTATAAATAAAATAATAATAAAAAGTACAAATAAATTATGGAATAAAACTGACAATAAGTATACATAATCCATGCAGTGGATGCAATATCCATCATTAGCATTAATCAGGTAAAATGGCAGGATTGCTATAATATTTGTCAGTTGTAATCCTACCAGTAAGAATGTATTACTGTCACTCCTAACAAAAAATAATATTGAACCTTATTACTCCAGTATTGAGTATCAGTATCAATGTTTCTATAAATTAGCATTAAAATGAAGTCAATGCTTAATCTGATATAATCTGGTACTTGAAAAAGAAGAAAAATATGAACACTCCATTTAAAGGATGCATAGAAAGGATAAAAATAAAACAGAGACAATCCAAACTCAGAAATACTTTTGTAAGTTGTACAGATAGATGGAGTGGGAACCAGGAGGGACAGAAGGCAGCAGTCATTGCCATGGGGGGGGGAAGCCATCCCAGCTTTGGTTGGCAGCTTGGCTGATGCAACCAATGTGACTAATGGGCTCAGTGGTATTTCTTAGGCTCCCTGCAGTGGTTTCCTGCTTTATTGGCAGTATTCTTCATTGAGACCAGGATCTAAGGATCTTGAGAATAAACTCTGAAATTTTACCATCTGTTCCTTCTGCCTCTTGCTTTCACTAAAATTATTTTTTGTGGAGAGGATAAAGTTAATTTCTTCTTTTTCAGTGAGGAGAGTCTTTTCTTTCCCTGCAAAGTGAAAAAATAACATCTATGCCCTTAATTATCAGAGAGTCTGCATTGTGCTTATGTTATTGCTGAAAAATTTAAACACTAGCTATCCACAGTGGCCAAAACACAATATGTGAGATGTGCCAAAAATGTTTGTGAATATTCAGCAGAGATGACACACACTGTGCTGCTTTTTGATGCGTGTGGAAATCTATTATTTATTATATTTATATCCCATCTTTTCTCCAATTTAGGGTCAGGAATATTAGATGGACAGAGGTTCTGTTATTGATCAGCAGATTCAAATTAGTGTACTTCCCCCTCCTTTTAGGATTAGCATTAGGATGACTTTTTCCACTTAATGTAATGTAACAAGAGTAGGAAAGTGGTATCATTAACATACACATTAGTATTCATCCAGTTCTCTTAGTTCCATAATTTGCCCTTGGTCAGATCCTTCTTCCTTACTCCTGGGGCATTTAAGGAGTTGTTTTTGCAGGCAAGTACTGTGTTTCCCCAAAAGTAAGACCTATCCCCAAAATAAGCCCTAGCTTGATTTTGGGGGGTGGGCCTAAAAATCAAGCTAGAGCAGGGTGTGGGGGGTGAAACTGCCCCACATGCCCTGCATCTACTTACCATTGCAGCCAGGCCTCCCATGAATCAATACCTCCCTTGCCTTTCCAACCCAGTTCTTCTGCGCCCTCCGGCCTGCATTTAAAGCCTCTGATAGTCAAATGCAGGTCGGGGAGTGCCGTGCGCATCAATGCGGAGCTCCATTCTCAGCTGCAGAAACATTTACTTTGGCCGCAGAAGAAGTGGGCCTCCTGGTGAGACCGCCATGAGGTGAGACTGTGGAAAAGACACTCCCCGACAATAAGACCTGATGCCTTTTTTGAAGACAATCAATCAATCAGTGAGTGAGTGAGTGAGTAAGAAAGAAAGACCGGGTCTTACTTTCAGGGAAACATGGAAGTTATAGTGCCCCAGTCTCCTCTTGAATGGGTAGATTCCCCTGCCCTCACCTGGAAGCTGGATGTGATAGAAAAGGAAATCTCCCTTTCCCAGGAATAAAATTTTAAATGAGTGGCTTCAAATCCAAGGCCAAGGGACTTTGAGTGCATGGTGCTAGATTACAAATCCAACCCTGAGGTAACAGAGGAAAAAAAGTGATTTTTATTTATTAAAGGCAGCATGGTAGAGATTTGAGAGAATAGTTTAACTGCCACAAATTACACAAAGGTGAGATCTGCATTTTAAAGCAAATACGGATATAGAGGACAGGAACAAACACAAAAGTATATATTCAAAATCCAGTATGCAGTATTGCACAGAAATACAAATAAATCCATACCTGACTAAAAGTTTCCTGCCAGATTTTCCTTATTGATTCCTTTCTTATAGGCTTTCTAGATTTTAAGTCCAGTAACATGAAATCTCTTCTTCAAGGGTCTGCTTCCTGCATGGGTTCCTAGTCAGAACATGCAAGAACAAAGAAACTACTAACTTCTTTTCTCCTGAATCTCAGCCTCTCAATTAAGGGTCAATTTAAGCTACTATTTTGGTCATTGGGTTCTATGTTCAAAACAGAGATTTGTAGTAGTACTTGTAGTTGGAGTATTCAGTGCCAAAACTTCTAAAATCTGTATGCTGGCCATTACTCTGTTCATTGTGAATCAATCTGTATCTTCTCTATGACACATGAACCTTTAGTTCATGTTCTTCATGCCTTATTCTTTTTTTTAAAGACTTCTGATTATGAATCAATCAAATTTCAGAAAATAATAGCACTATCAGTTTGATTCCCATTCTATCTGTGGACTGTAAGACATAGGAAGAGATAAATTTGGGAAAGCTTTCATATATTGAAAATAGGGATTTGCGGCTAGATTCCCTATTATTCATATTCAGAGCTGTTTATAAAACCTGCTGATGTATGTATCTGAAACATACTGATGCAGCTTATAAAACATGCTTTAAGTATAACAGTTATTCCCTTTCCTGCAACCAGAAGAGGCGCTGTTTATGCATCATTGTGAGTGGAAGGTCTACTCTACAAAAGCTGTAATTTTCTTGAGCAGTGCAGAAGGGCGTAACAAGAGTCATGCATTGCACATGCATGCTTATTGCAAAGAAGGAGACACCAAGAGGATGTGCAAATAACTCTATTTCCCCTCCATATTTCCTCTAACTGCAGACATGATCTGTAAAATTAATATAGGCATAGCTCATATATTCCTCTGTTGGTAAGGCACACAAATCCTTGGCACATTATTCACAGGCATGACTCACTTGTATGTTTCCTGTTTTAGTGGTTGCTTTTTGTTAATATATGTAAAATACCTAAAACCCCCAAGTCTGTATTGGTGCATACATTGTTGATTAACTTGTATCTGTATGTTGTGTATCAGAAGTGACGACTGAGGCTTGCACTGTATTTGACTGTGTCTGTAGGTAGCCAAAGATGTCTCTGCGCGTCTCCATAATGAACTTGAAGCAGTGGAGAAAAAACGGATTAAACTGGAGGAGGAGAATGAAGACTTGCGCCAACGGCTCATTGAGAGTGATTTGGCTAAGCAAGTGTTACAGAATGAGATGGACAAGCTTAGAGAGGTAAGTACATTTGGGGGGGGGGGACCGTTACTTAAACATTTTTATTTACAATTTTTCTTTCAAGGGCTTAAGATCATAGAAAGGACCATGCAGTAGTTAGGCTGAGAAGGAGTGAGTTGTTCAAAGCTGTCCAGTGAGTTTGATATTTGAAAGACAATACCAACCTGGACTTTGTATTTTCAAGCCTAACATTAATGAATATCGTTAAGTTGTGGAAGGTTTGACTAGATACTGGAGCACCAAATATCCATCTGTGGTTTGTTCTGACAAAGCTTCAGTGTTGTGATGTCATTCAGATTCAAGCCCCAATCAGTGCAAGAAATAACTGCAGACAGGAATATGTTGGGAAACCACAATGGATTTCTAAATGGCACACTATATGAGTTAAAATATAAGATCATTGTTTTGATAAATGACAGTTTAGTAAACCTCTTTCACAAAATATGTTTGTTAGTAACTACATTTATAGGAGAGAAATCACCTGTTTCTGCAAATTCCTTAAACACTTAATATAGTTTCTTTCAGTCTGTTGCTGCTTCTGCTATTTCTCTCTGTGTTCCTAACATATGTAAAGAAATTGTTCAAACTGGCAAAAGATGTATAATTCTAACATCTGCAAACAACGGTTGACGTCTATCAGTGGTTATTTCATCAGATTATTTTCTAGCTTGTGGCTTGGTATAATGGCCTGGCTAACTTACGGTTTCTTTTTAACTTTTCTCTTAATGCAGTGTGTATTTCAAGAAAGCAACTGGATAACATATAATGCAGGATAGTGCCTTTAATCAGGATGTCAGTTCTCCCAGACTCTTTTTCCAGAGCTATACATTGCTTTAGCCTAAATCTCTTTCCTTCTAGAGGGAAGGGCTGTGATGAATGGGTATTCTATCGGCTTCAACATTCTCTCTTTTGGTTAGTCTTGTGCTCTGCAGATGGCAAATAACTTTTTTTTAGTTTCTGCAGATGGCAAAGGACATTTTGGACTCTTTTTAGGATTAACCAGTTGAAATGTTTACTGGGAAGATGACGTGATGCAAACAGAGAGGCATTGTCAGAGACTGGCATCATTCTGAGAAATTCCCTTCATTCTAATTAACAGAGGGAGCAGCCCTTTCTCCCAATTTAATCAGAACAGAAGCACACATACAAAAAAAAAATTATAATTTGCTAGCAGTGCCTTTCTAGAACAAAATGGAAACTTTGAGCCAAGGGTTTGGTTAAGGTCTAAGCAAAATATTAAATATACTAAAATAAAAAGAGTACAGATTAATAGGCCATCTGAATCCCTGTATAAGGGGGAAGAGAGCAGATGGATGTCAGACTAATAATAACTTAGCACCATGCTGTGTTTCTGAGCTGTCAGCAAAACATTCTTCTGTTATCATGATGCTATCCAGATCTATTGACACTGTATTTAGACACTATAATGTTCCAAAGCAACAGAGAAATCAAAATTAATTCAGGCTTGCTGAAGTAATGATGACAGATTTCTTAAACTGGTATGTTTAGCAAATCTCTAGGCTTGGAATACTATCTTAAGAAAGAGAAATGCCTTGGAGCATGCAGGGCATTGCCAGAAAAGGAGGTTGAAGAATGGAATTATGTGTAAGATTGGGACAGAAGGCCAAAGGTTTATTTAGCTGCAGTCACAGCAGACATTTAGTATCTGCAACGTGTGATTACTACCCTAGTTGGAAATGGGCCAGGTTTGGTTTGATTTGAGGTATGTGTGTACGTGTGAATGTGTTTGCATGTTAAGAATTTTTACCAGCTACCTTTGTGTAGGGGGAAACTCCCCCCCAAATCAACTATCATTTTCTAGAGCAGAATTCCTTTGCCACCCATTACCATTTTTACTTTTAATTCTTTGAGCAAATAAATATCCAGCAAAATTTGCATGCTTTTCTGGAGGTATTACACAACTGGTCCCTACTACGATGAGGATTATCAATTTATTTAATATTAACAATGCTGGATGATATCATTTGCAAAAAAAGGAGTAATTGAAAACAACACTTAAAGATTTTCTCAAGAAAAACATCAGCAGGAGGAGGTGATGGAGAAAGCCAACAATTAGATGTAGAAATTAATAGGCGTTTACTTGGCTCTGAGTGACTCTTCTGATTGCTCTAATTCCAATCTTCTGGATAGGCTTTTTAGAAAGATAGGCTCATATATATTTGTTTAGTTACAACAATTATATTTCAATGTCATCCATACTCTTATTTCTGAGCAGTTCTAAGCATGTTAATGTTATCTCTTGCAAATGAATAATTTGTTTATTTATTTTTCAAATCACCCTCATTTCCATTATTCCTTAACTTTATCCTCCTCCTTAATGCATGTCACCTTCCTACAAATAATTATGTATTTATTTTTTACTGCAGAAAATAATAAAAATGTATCTGTAGGTCAATTTTCTGTCTTTGGCCTTCTAAATGATATTCCTCCATTTCATTTTGACGGTACTTACAGGTAGTAATACATAGCACAGCTGGACAAAGTCTAGATCAGGGGTAATCAACCTTGGCTCTTTTATGACTCGTGGACTTCAACTCCGAGAATTCCTGAGCCAGCTTAGCTGGCTCAGGAATTCTGGGAGTTGAAGTCCACGAGTCATAACAGAGCCAAGGTTGACTACCCCTGGTCTAGATGGTGCTACCATTAGAGGGGCTCACAATGGTCCGAATCTCTGCACCGAAAAAGGTCTTGTTAATGGATTCACTTCAGCCTTGGAGGGAAGCCTTGTGATCATGTGCCCGTGAAGTGGCATGATGCTTGTAACTCTGAGGACAGGTTGTAAATCATATTTATGAGGCCATCATAACTTTGAACAGTCATTAAACGAATGGTAGTAGCTAGAGGACCACCTGCACTTTGTCCTGTTTTGGGCACCACAGTTCAAAAAGGGCATAATAGATGAAGGGCTGCTATGGTGGTAGAGACTAGAAAACAAGCCTTATTTGGAACAAATAATGGATGTTAATATGATTAGCCTACAGGAAAAACAACTGAGAGGAGATATGATAACTATTTCTAACATCTGAAGAATTGTCACACTGAAGAGAGAGTGGACTTACTCTCTGCTGCTCCAAAGGACACAACCAGAACCAATGGTTTAAAACTACAAGAAAGAAGTTTCACATTAGACATCAGAAAGGATTTCATGAGTGTATGAGCTGACAGCCAGGAGAACATGTTGTCACAGAAGACTGTGTAACCTGAAATCCAGTGCACTGATTTCAGCAAAATTTTGTATTATTCATCTATCATTGATGGATTAATTTTACTGTTTGAATAAAAACAATTGTAGGCTCTTAAGGTATTTATATTTTTTCTAGTACTAAATAATGGGATGGGGACTGGAGATCCATTTTTACCTGATTGCTGCTTCAGATTCAGAATTGGGGATGAGACCAGAATAGGCTACACTCTTGACCTGCACAAAGTGGATAGTCCTCCTTCTGGAGCTGAGAAGTTGGCCATGAAATTGGTTAGTGACCTTTTGGCAGTTGCAATAAAAATCTATTCTTCTTTCTAGTTCTACATCAGTTTTTCTCTCTGTAATTGCATATCAATTTGCATGGTTGTATAGGAGAATGTTAGTGGTGCTAGAGAAAGCAGAGTAAATGACTGTGACCAGCTCAGAAGCCTTATTTCTCTTCATCCATGTTGGATAGGACTAGCAATGTTTCTTTTTGCTTCTCTTTCTAGGCAGCCTGTCCTGCTTATCCATACAGTAAGCAATATGAGTGGACATATGATTGGCTTTTGCGCAGCCTGATGGCATGAGCTGAATAGTAAATGGAGAGAGGAGCGGAGACTGCCAGTGAGAGATTAGGGATTACAGGAAGGGGTGGGCTGCTCTATGACCAGACTGGAGTCACATGGTGTGTGCTTTCATAATGTGGGTTGCAATGTGGCATACAGATGTATATTTAGGCTTTTAAAATATTACTATATCACGAACCTTTTATATTTCTTTCCCTCTCTTCCACCTTTCCTACTTCTAAAATGTATTTTTAAAAATTAAATTAGCATTCTTTTGGAAGAAAAACAGACTATGCACTTAAAGCTGTACTGTATATAATTTTGCACATAAAATCCTGTTTATTTCTTGATGGGCTGTGATGCTGTTAGCATGATGGTAGGAAAGAAAATACTTGAAATTTTTTGTCCACATGATTGATGCTACCTTAGAATTAGTGAAGTCTGTTGGACTTAAATCACAATGTTGTATTCAGCTTCAAACTGTTTAGCCAAATTTATTAGGCCTAATAAAGAAAACTTTAATATCAGGTGTTATGTCCTGAGCCTGCTGAAGCATTCAGCAGGCTCAGAAATTTTGCAAAGTTGCCCGGGACCAGACTGGCTGTTTCCAGCCTTGCGTGCATGTGCAAGGCGGGAAACAGCTTCTGCAATCATTGGTTGACATTGTCTGGGTCTTGGACACTATAAAAGGCCTGCGCGCCATTTTGGCTGTTGTTGGTTGTGGATGAAAATAATAAATAAAGGCTTGTTGTCACACGATGCGTCCCCTCTTAATGCTTCTAACCCGCGAACATAACAGTGGCGACGAAGGTGGAATCGCTGTAAGCCACAATTAACAAAGAAGAGAGGACTTACCAAGAAGTCCTGGGAAGTTCAGCGTCCAGCATAGCGACTCTGCCTGCCAGTACAGCATCGCTGGAGGTGAGCTCGGCTAAGGGACCCCTTCCCCAGATAACAGGCTTGCAGTGAAGGCATTAACTAGGGTTACAGAAGATGTCTAAGATTGGCCACTTGTCAGAATTTGAGATTGCACACCCGGAGCGCTGGAATTTGTACGTGGCGCGAGTGGAAAACTATTTCAGGGTCAATCAGATAAGGGAAGACGGCCTTAAAGTGGCAACCCTGCTGTGTGTCTGTGGACAAGAAACATTTGGCATAGCAGCGAATCTGGTGGCCCCTGTGCTTTTGGAGTCAGTGACTTATGCAGACTTGAAGAAAATGCTTAAAGA